CAGGGGGAACTGGCGATCAGGACTCCTGGGTTCCTTTCCTGGCTCTGCCACTGCCTTCCTGTGTCTCTGTGCCTCAGTTCCCCTCTGTGCACCGGGAGGGTTAGTGACCCTGTCCCATCTGTCTGGGAGCTGGGGGAAGGGGACGATGACCCGCCCAGGCCAGTCCTATCATTATGACTCTACCTGCCTGGGAAGGAACGAGCCACAATTGCTGTGGACCCAAGCTCCCAGCAGCCACAAGGAACAGACTGGGCCAGCTAGCAGTGACTGTGGTGCAGAAGGACCCCCGCCTCCCAGCCAGCCCTGCCCACAGCCAGGCTCCTTTGGGCACTTAACGTGAAGAGCCCCAGGAGCAGCTGCTCCGTTGCAGCCCCCAGGCAGGGCCCTCTCTGTGCTAGCAGGAGAGACAGGGAGCTCTGATGCCCACGCAGGAGCCAGGCACAGACCTGGATCCCAGCCCAGCTCCAGGGGTCCTGCCTCTGTTGCCCCCATGCCCAACAGCTGCCAGGCTTTCAGGGAAGTCCCGATGCTACTCGGGGCCCCCTAGACAAGATGCCCTGAGCCGGCTGGGAGCAGAGCAGGGGATGGTGCACTCGAGCAGCACAGGGCCCCAAGTACAACCTCTGAGCCTGCCCCAGCCAGGCCCATAGCAGGAGGGGCAGGTATTCCTGCCCTGGCCGTGGAGGCAGCTCTTCCTGGAGCAGCCTGGCATGGAGCCTGCGCTGCAGCCAACAGGATGTGTTAGGACAGGACCTGCTGCTTCCAGGCAAACCTGCTGGAGGTGAATGAGAGCAACTCGCCCTGCCCTGCCCCGCCCGCACACTCCAGTGGGTTGCGCTCAGGATGGACCCTCTTCCCTGCTGTCATGGTGGACAGGGGAGGCCCCTGCTCTTCTGGGGTGAGGGGCCAGGCTGCCCCCTCTCGGGGCGGGAGCCTGCAGGGGCCAGGCTCTGTGCTATCCATCTGAGCAGCCTCCCCACACCCACAGACTGGAGTGGAGCTGTACAGAGACAGGGCCCATAAACCAGTGTGGGTCCACCTGGGGCAGGGATTGGAGGCAGGGCTGAGCCCAGCACAAGCCAGAGAACTGACCTGGCACATCACAGGCAGGATGGGGCATACACAGAGCTCTAGCTGTCCCACCCAGCACCACAGGCCCAATCCTGATCACGGCATCTCAATGCTACCATGTACAACAGACACTGCACCTGCCCCTGAGCACCAAGCCCCAGATAGCACATGGCCAGTAAGAACTTGCTGCATTCTCCCTGCCAGAGCAAATGGCGTCCAGTCTGAGCTGTCAGCGAGGACCCATGGGGAGCGCCCCCCACCAGCACCTCCCCAGGGCAGCGCTGGGCCGAGCAGTCCCCTGCGAGCACCCATGGATTGCTGGTCTGGTCGCAGCAGAGCAGGAGGGAAACCAAGATGGCAGGCTGGGGCGTTACTGGGAACAGACTCTTGCCAAAGGCTGCAGAGTCTGACCCCGCTGGGTGGCAGGGAGCATCCCCATGCACGTGGGTCCCTGCAGTGCTCTCCCTGCAGCAGGTCCCCAGTGCCTTGCTCTGGCTGCTCACCCGCCCCCATCACCACAGCCCTGAGCATCCTGCAATCGGTAACGGTTCCACTGTCACAAGTCCTGCTGGGGTGGGCAGTGCTGTTATCCCTGCAGTACCAGTACCGATCCCAGAGCACAGATTGAAACCCAGGCTGCCCAAGCCCTAGGCTGGTCCCCGATCACTGGGCAAACAGGCTTCCTGTGCTCCGACCTCACCCAGCAGCTGGGAGCAGGGCAGGGCACTGGCCCCTCCCCAACTCCAGCAGGGCTGAGCTCTGCCAGGGCCCCCAGCACGAACCACGCAGGGTCCCCGAGAGATCAGCACACAGGACAGACCACCAGGCTGCTCCCCCTAGCCCTGGCAGGCCAATTCCAGGGAAGACACACCAGAGCGCAGCCTGAGAGCAGGGGCATGATATACAGAGGAGGGACGTGCCAGAGCCTTGCCCATGGGACGGGATCCCTGTGCAACACCCTGGCCCAGCAAACTAATGGCCTGCCCTGGCAAGGACGCACTAGGGAGGAGCCTCTGCTCCCAGCAACAAGGCAGGATGGGACCCAGCGGAGCGGAAAGCAAACCCCTTCCCTCCCCAGCGACCTGCTTTCTCATTTGCAGGGAAGTGCCAGCACCTCCCCTCCCCCACCATTCCAGGACCCAGTTCAAAGCTACCCTCTCTATTCACCCCTCCCTGGACCCGCTCCAGCCAAACACACAGATCCTGCCTTTCCCCCACCCCAGCTTCTCCAGCCTGGCCTGGGGGCTTTCAGGCAGCCCCCCCATGCTGGGTGCAGAAGCCTGCTCTGCAGCATCTGCTACCTGGAACCCCCTCGCTGGGGACAGTTCTGCCTCTTCGCCCGCCTGACAGGCAGTCTGACTGCCTGCGAGCGGCTCTCTCCTTGCTTCCCCCTTCCTTCGCTGTGTCCATCACTTACACCCACTGCCTGGCCCTACTGCACGGGCCAGCATGTACCGTGGGCCTGCCCAGGCTGCACCCCCTCTGCTGGCACACTGCCACGCAGGAACCATTCAGAGGCATGCTCTGGCTTGCGGGATAGGCAGGGCGCTGGTGTTTTGCAGCCTCAGCACCTAGCAGAGGTGTCACAAGGCATTTCAACACCAGGGAGAACGTAGGCTGCAGGATTGCACCACGGAGTTGCAGAACCGAGCACCATCCCACTGGCCCCTGGGGGAAGTCACAGGGACGCTGGCAAGTGCTACACACATCACCGTGGCTCTGGCCCCAGCACAAGCAGCCCTGTGGGGGGACAAGCAGGCCCTTCACAAGCCCAGGCCCCCTCCGCTCTCTCAGGTTCTCCCCAGCCTGGCTGGGGAAGCTGGGCTAGTCACTGTCCCTGGGTGGCCCCGGGGTTCCCAGCCCGACAGAGAGTTCAGAGCCGGTGAAAGGTGCTTTCTAAGATCAGCAACAAACACCAGACAGGACAATCCTATCCAGCTGAGGAGTGGGGGTCAACCCGCCAACATCTGGGCCCAAACTACACAGAGGAGTCCCTGAAGGCCCCCTCACGGGGGAAGTTCAAATACGTCACTGTGCAGCCACCCAGCCCCCAAGCCCAGCCCCTTAGTCCTCCAGCTGACCTACCGCAACCACCTCACCTCCTAATTCCTCCCTCTCTGGAGCACCAACAGGGGCTCAGCCCTGTACTCCTCAGGGCAATGTCAGAGCCCGGACACCTCCCTCCCTGTGGGGAACTGTGCAGGGAAGACATCCCCTGAGACTCCGCTCAGTCCCACACTGAGGGAAGAGTCCCCATGCTCAGCTCAGAGCCAAGTGCAGGGCAGGTTAGAACGTCCCAGAGAATTGTACGTCCTGGAGCAACAGTCGCAGTCCACAGAGAACTCTCAAGCTGCAGGCCCAGCCCAGGGTAGCAGGGTGAGGAGGGATCCCCCCTGACAGCATCACCTCCCCATGTGCAACAGGTACTGGCCACAGGGGGAGGCAGGACCCAGGCAAGCGGGATCAGTGGTCAGGTCTGTCTCTACAGTGTATAACTTTCCTGCTGTGGCCAATGAAGGCTGGCGGGGTGAGCTGGGCCCCGGGAATCGGCCACCAGCAGGACACATGGGCTGCAACCCTGCAGCTCCCACCACCCAGCCCAGAGAATGGGGCCAGCCAGTGTGCACAGGCCCTAACCACGCTGTTCCCTGCCCTCACATCCCCTGCCCCTGGAGCCAGTGGAGGGGCCTAGAAGCAGCAGTCAGGAGCCACTCCCAAAAGCTGCTGTAACCCAGGCCCACGCACGGGAGCCAGTGAGGTGGGTGCGATTGGCATGATGCTCTGTATGCTGCCACCGGGGCAGGGGCAGATCCCTCAGCAGGCGCCCGTCTCCTGTGCTGAGCCTCCCAGGGACACTCCGCCAGCTGGGCGGGACGAGGGCCCGAAGGGCACCGCTGGTAGCACAGGGCTAAGGGGTAGAGCGGACAGCCACGAAAGCAGCCTCAGCCCAATCCCACTGCCAGCCCAGCCACTCCAGAGGAGCCAGGCCTAGGGCCCTGGGCCAGACCAGACTCGTACACCACACACCACAGGGTGGGGAAGGCGTTTCTCTGATCTCCCTGGCTCCCACGTTCCCACCACTGGGAGCAATTCCACACAAATCCCCATGTCCCAGCCCAGCCCTGCCCATCCTCCTTCCCAGTGCTCTGGGCCTGGGCCACACGGTGCAGTCAATGGGGTCTTTGAGGCCAGAGACAACCCTCCCCCCACACACACCTGGAGCTCCCAGCTCTGCTCATTCAGGCCTCAGCTGCAGGCAGGCAGCAGGTCCCATCCCGCTGCCCTGACTGGCACAGCACGACACGGCCGGGCAGCAGCCTCCGGCGTGGAAGTGAGCGTACGCCTACCCAGGCTCCAGAGCCCAGACCCAGGAGTCCCGGCTCCCAGTCCTGGTTCTGCTACTGGCTCCCTGTGGGAGCTCTGGGGAGTCCCTGCCCACCTCTGGGCTTCTGCTTCCCCTCCATTGCCGGGGGAAACTCATCCCTGGGGCCAGACGTTTGCGAAGTACCTGCGGATGGAAGGCGCTATGGAGTGGCATCATTCATGCAAACGTGCCCATTAGTGACAACACGTGGGCAGCGCTGCCTGCATGTGCGGCAGCTGGTGCGAAAGTCTCTGCCCTTGGCGAGCCCACAAAACACCGGCTAGGGGAGCCTGCATGGTCCTGCCCTCGTGCCTGCTGATGGGCAAGGGACACACCGCGGGGGCCTGTCGGCTGTGATCTCTGCCCCGGCCCAGGCCCCCAAGTCTCAGCGCCTTTAGTGCCCCAAGAAACCTCCTATGGGGCTCCCCCCCGCTCCGTCCCTCCTGCCGGCCCCACACGACCCACAGCTCCAGCGGGTTCTCCTGCCAGCGGCGCCGGGCGCGGGGCGAGCTCCCAGCAGGAGACACCGGCCGGGCCGGGCTCCGGGGCCGCCCCCCGCACTCACCGTAGTGCAGGCTGACCCGCGGCACCGTCTCCTCGGAGGCCGAGAGCAGCAGCAGGGCCCAGAGCGCCGGGGCCAGCAGGGAGAGCGAGAGGCCGAGCCCCATGGCCGGCCGGCGGGCTCCGCTCCCGGGCAGCGCAGCGCAGCCAGCAGCGGGCGGCTCCGGCTCCGGCTCCGGCTCCGTCCGTCGGCTGCAAAACTTTCCACCGCCCGCCGTGGCGGGGCCTCCTGCGGCAGCCAGACCTAGGGGCAGAGAGCGCTCAGCGTGGGCGGCCCGCCCCATAGAGCCCAGCCCAGCCCCCTGCCCGCTCCCCGGAACCCCGCCCCATGGCCAGCCCCCCTGCAAGCCCACCCCATAGAGCCCAGCCCCCCTGCCCGCTCCCCGGAACCTCGCCCCATAGAGCCCAGCCCCCCTGCAACCCCGCCCCACGGCCCGCCCCATAGAGCCCAGCCCCCTGCCCGCTCCCCGGAACCCCGCCCCATGGCCAGCCCCCCTGCAAGCCCGCCCCACGGCCCGCCCCATAGAGCCCAGCCCCCCTGCCCGCTCCCCGGAACCCCGCCCCACGGCTCGCCCGCCCCATGACCAGCCCCCCTGCAACTCCGCCCCACGGCCAGCCCCCCTGCAACCCCGCCCCACGGCCCGCCCCATAGAGCCCAGCCCCCCTGCCCGCTCCACGGCCCCCACTGCTCCCCGAAGGCAGCCAGACCTAGGGGGAGAGAGCGCTCAGCGTGGGCGGCCCCACGGCACGGCCGGATCCCCCGCCCCATGGCCACCCCCCCACGGGCAGCCAGACCTAGGAAGGGACAGTATTGGCCGCCCCCCCCCCCGTGCCAGCACCCCTCCCGTGTCAATTCTCGCGCCCCCTGCGACAGCACCCCCCGCCTGCCCCCCCTCCCCCCACTGTGTCTGTGCGAGCACCCCCTGCTGCCCCCCACCGGCGCCAACACCCCCAGCCCCCTTGCCCCCACTGTGGGAGCACCGCTGCCCCCGGCATCAGTACCCATCCCTGACAGCACCCGTACCCCCCACGCCCTGCCCCACAGCACCCTCCCATTGCACGGCAGCATCGTCACCTTCCCCCACAGCCAGCCACCGCCGCAGCGGCCACGCTCCCAGCGCCCCCAGCAGCACGGGCACCCGGCCACCCAGCCCTGCCCAGGCCATGACGAGCTGCGGGGCTGCCCTTCCTGTAGCCCTGCCACGGCTCCGCTCTGCTCACGGGGTGACCGAGGCTGGGCCGACCCGACCTAGACCTACACACCCCATTCTGTCCCCCTGCACCCCGCCGTGCTACCCCCCATAGCCCCGCCACCACCCACCTCCCCCACTGCACCAAGGCTGTCCCCTGTGTGCTCATGCCTGCTGCAGTCACAGCCCTCTGGCTCGGCCCCTCCGTCCCCCAGAGCATGCAGCTCCCTGCCCCGGGGCCACGCGCTCACCAGAAAGCAATCCCTTGCTAGTGCCTTTCCAGGCACACAGGAGCCCCAGGGGACTTCCCACCACTAAAAGGAGGGGGCCAGGACTGTGAGCAGTTTGGGGCTGGGCCCATCTCCCCCGCTGTGAGTGTGCAGCGCCTGGCACACAGAGCTGCAGCCTAGGCCTGCTGCAATACAGAGAATAAACAGCCAGGGCAGGGGGCCGCCCAGGCAGCACTGGGCTCCGCTCTGTGAGCCCAGCTGGGAACGCAACATGTTTCTCTGTACGTACTGCCCAGCCAGCTGCCTCCCAAGATGGGCTTCCATCTGCTCCTGCCTGTGCAGGGGGCAGGACACATGGGCACAGCTGAGTCCCCATCCCTGGTGCAGCAGAGTGAAGGCTTGCCCTAGATTCCTGCGCCTGCCTTGAGGAGGGGTGACAGTGCGCTACGGGTTGCACGCTCACGGATGGCTCATGCCACCGCTCACCCCTGCCCTGTGCAGGTCGCCCCTGGGCTGTGCTGGGGCTGAGGAGTGCAGCTGGTGCAGGGCCCTGCTGGAATGACTCCCATACACACAGGGCTCAGGGCCAGGAGGAGCCTGGCAGCATGCCCAGGACTGGCAGGCACAGTGTGGGACCAAAACATCCTTTCAGCGCCCGGCTGCAAACAAGCTCCAGCTAGTTCCCCTGGCAATAGGCCCCTTTGCTCCGTAAATCCATTGGCACCTGGAGCCCAGGTGCTTGGCTCGACCAGCCTGTCTCTCCCACCTATGCTCCTGGTTATTGCTCTGCCTCTGGGGCAGGGCCGGGCTGGGCCTGAACAACAACCAATTCCTGGCCAAGACACTAGTTTACTTTCAGTTCAGCCAATGCCAGCCAAGACTGTAGCAGCGTGAGCTTCCCTCAAGCAGTGCCCTGTCAGCACCAGCTGGGACCCCAGTGCTGTGAGCTTCCCTCAAGCAGTGCCCTGTCAGCACCAGCTGGGACCCCAGTGCTGTGAGCTTCCCTCAAGCAGTGCCCTGTTAGCACCAGCTGGGACCCCAGTGCTGTGAGCTTCCCCCAGCAGTGCCCTGTCAGCACCAGCTGGGACCCCAGTGCTGTGAGCTTCCCTCAAGCAGTGCCCTGTCGGTGCCAGGTAGGACCCCAGCAGGGTGAGCTCTCTTCCTCTCTAATACCATTGCTAACGCCAGAGCCTTCTTGAACTATAGAACTTTATTCTATTGACTGAATTTAAAAATGATTTTGGGCAGCTGGGAGAGTGAGAGGAAACCATGCCCCAGAGCCAGGGCCTAGACACCATGGGGATGGGCACCTGGAAGATTCAGAACCCACCGGCCACCTGGTATGTTTGGAGAGCTGCTGTTCACCTGCTGCCTGCTCCCACGCAAGTCTGAGCTTCACACAAGGGCCCAAGGAACTGGCCACACTGGCCAGTGTCTGAAGCTATGCAAGTCACCACAGGATGAGCTTGGCGCCTGCAGCCCTTCACGCTCCAGCACCGCAGGGAGGTAACTGCTTCCAGGGAGGCTGCTGCTGCTACAGAGATCCCCTGAGAACTGCCTCCTCCCTAAGAGCAGCCTTGTGCCCCGGAGAGAGCCAAGCTGCCTGGGAATGCCTCATCCTTAGCTGTACAAATACTAGGTAGAAGTGGTGAAGTGAGCTGGCCTCTGTAGGCAGCCCTGGTGAGGCTGTAATTGGGACTAGGTGTCGCTGCACTTCAAGCAGGTGGGAAAAATGCTGGAGAGAATTCAAAGGAGGGCCACAAAGCTGATCCAAAAAGAAAAGGAGTACTTGTGGCACCTTAGAGACTAACCAATTTATTTGAGCATGAGCTTTTGTGAGCTACATGCATCCGATGAAGTGAGCTGTAGCTCACGAAAGCTTATACTCAAATAAATTGGTTAGTCTCTAAGGTGCCACAAGTCCTCCTTTTCTTTTTGCGAATACAGACTAACTGGAAGCTGATCCAGGGGCTGGAAAAGAAGCCTTGTGGCTTAAGAAGCTTACCCAAGAGAAGGCTGGGAAGTGCCTGGATCCATGTCTCGAGCAGATCTGAGAAGCATCAGAGTCTGTATCTACCTGGGGAACAAATCTTTAATAACGGGCTCCAGTCTAGCAGAGAAAGATCTAACATGAGCCAATGGCTGGAAGTTGAAACTAGACAAATTCAGAATGGAAATAAAGCATAAATTTTCAATGGTCCGAGTAATTAGCTACTTGGACAATTTACTGTGGTCAAGATGGATTCTCCCTCATGGAGCAGTTTAAATCAGGATTCTAACAGCTCTGCTCCAGGAATTATTTGGGGGAAGTTCTCTGGCCTGTGATACAGACTGAATGATCCGTCACAGAGGCCTTGGCCCCATGGCCTGCCTGCCCAGCGTGTTCACAGCCCATCGGGGGGAGGATGGGCTCGGCCTGCCCTCAACTGAGCCTTCCCCAGCAGTGCCAATGATCCCACATCAAGTGCGGATGGAGAAGAGAAGCCTGCCATACCCTCCCTGCACATGGGCAGGTTTCTTCCTCTTCCAGGATGGGCCCAGGAACTCCTGCCCTGCAGACGCTTTCCTGCCCTTGTGGCTAAGGGAGTCCAGAGCGCCACTTTGAAAGGTGCCAACCAGGCCCCATGTGTCGGCCTGGCACTGCGGCCCCAGCCCCCCGGGAACAGAGCGAAGTCCTGCACTGGCCTGTTCCAATGGGACGAGCTCCCAGCAGGGCCCACATGGACGGGATCCTTCACAGCCCCACTCGGGCGCAGCTCCGGGACAGCCCCATGGCACGACAGCCACGACCCAACCTCTGTGGCGCCTGCTTTGTCCCGGAGCGCCCTGGCTTTGAGCCCAGCTCGGTCCCTCCCTAGGCAGGAGATGGATGCTGTCAGGGCCAGAGCCTGGACATTGGGCCCCTCAGGCAGGACAGGGGAAGGGATGCTTGTGGTGCCTGATCTGCCCTCACCACTGTCACTGTGCCATGAGCCAGCTGCCCAGCCCTGCTGCCATTTCACCTCCCTGGCTCCAGACATTGGGGGCTGGGACTCACGGGCCCAGAAGGTGCTGGAGCTCAGCGGGGGAGGGGAGGGGAATGTGCAGGGGCCCTTTGGAGAATCACCCGGATTCCTCTGGAGGTTACCATGGCAACAAGTTAGTAATGACAGTGACATTTTGCCATGGCAACATGAGTGAGAGAATTGCCCCTATTTGTGGTTGCCAAGAATTCCCGGGCTCAGACTGGTGCAAGGATCCCAGGCCCCAGCCCCGTGGGGTGAGGAGCTGAGGCCAGAGGAGAGTGAAAGGCAGGGGAAAGACCGAGGGGGGAGTACCGTCTGTCCTTTCCTGCAGCTCCTGCCTCAGTTCTGGGCCCTCCCTCTCCCGGGTCACCTGCTTTGTTTACCAAATAGCTATTTCTCTTCCTTCCCGAGCTCTGTGCTCCTAGGGGACTGGCTGCTCAGTCCCTCCCTGACCCACCTTAGGGGCCCTTAGCCCACTGAAACACTGCAAGGGGGAGGGTGATGCCTCACCAGCATCATAGCGGGCGCTGGTTCCGCAGGGACCGACTCCCCTGCAGTGGGGGCATGGGTCCCATCGCAGAGTTGAGGGGTGCTGCAAAGGGAGGGGCTGGTGTGGTGGGGGTCCAGCTCCGAGCATGAGGCTGGAGTGAGGTCCAACCCCCAGGAGCCCGCGCAGCCCCTGGAGACGCCAGGGCAGGACCCTGACCCTGGCACCGAGGGGATTTCACCCTCAGCATCTCAGACCCGCCCCCCATTGTCACCCACGGCTGCTGTTGGTTTTTCCCCTCCCTTGATGGCATCATTATTAGAGAGAGCGAGAGCAGCCAGTCAGGAGGGAGCACCCTCGGCCATGGGACCTGGGG